TTCCTCCGAAAGCATTTCTACCGGCAATTAAGAAAGAAGCAGATATGTAACAGTAGGTTGTTTGTTTAATTTCTGTTACATTAGGTTGTTTGTTTAATTTCTGTTACATTAGGTTGTTTGTTTAATTTATGTTACAATAGGTAATTTGTTTAATTTCTGTTACACTAGGTTGTAATTTCTTTATATTTCTGCACCATTTACTTAGATTTTGACCTTGGGAATTGAGGGGGGGGGGCTTAGGAGCCGAACGCTGTACAGGCAAACTCCTTTCTATTTTGTGAATTGGGTGGGCGTAGACTCTTTTTAGGTGAAGGGAAGCTTGCCCCTCTCGAGAACTTGTAAGAACAATCTCTTACTGTTCTCTACATTCCTAAAGGACAAGTACAATGACACAATGGATCAGGTTTTAGGTAGACAAGTACAATGACACAACGGATCAGGTTTTAGTTAGACAAGTATAATGACACAATGGCTCAGATTTTAGGTAGACAACTACAATGACACAGTGGATCAGGTTTTAGATAGACAAGTACAATGACACAACGGATCAGGTTTTAGTTAGACAAGTACAATGACACAATGGCTCAGATTTTAGGTAGACAACTACAATGACACAATGGATCAGGTTTTAGATAGACAAGTACAATGACACAATGGATCAGGTTTTAGGAAGACAAGTACAATGACACAACGGATCAGGTTTTAGGTAGACAAGTACAATGACACAACGGATCAGGTTTTAGTTAGACAAGTACAATGACACAATGGCTCAGATTTTAGGTAGACAACTACAATGACACAATGGATCAGGTTTTAGGTAGACAAGTACAATGACACAATGGATCAGGTTTTAGGTAGACAAGTGCAATGACATAATGGATTAGGTTTTAAGTGGATTGATAATTTATATCACGTGATATTTGTGCTTCATAGTGACCTCAGACTAAAAAGTATTAGCTAGGTTCGAGCTCATGTGATATTGGCTGTCATGAATTTACTCTAAATGAAATATTAGGCAACACACAAAACTAATTTTCTTCCCTGTAACGTTAAATTATGACCGTTTCCAGCTAGTGCTGTTTTCCACCTAAGTGTTTTTTTATTTAAAAACCAGGGGTCAGTGGAGTATCTAAGCCTAAGACCTGGAAAGGAGACTAATTCTTATGACTATGTATGTACATGTCATATCAATATCAAAATATTACTAATTATTAGTGGAGGCAGAATATTTACACGAATATCCGACTCCTAATGTCAACAGTGATGGATAGAATGATTATTTGTTGATTAACTTAATTTAAAAATTATCTATCTGAAGACTATAGCATGCCATAAGAAAAAATATTTCCTTTATATTAGCGCGTAGAAATAAAGAAAATACATTTTACATCACTGGTGTAGGCATTCTTAAGCGTATTATTAAGAATATTTGATTTATAAAGGGTACAAATTAAGTGTCGTTATAGTTACACGACTTACTGTGAAAGTAGACGCCCCCTGTTGGGCAAGTGGCATGATACGTTTGGCAATAATAAACCTTTTCGAATACGACATTATAAGGGGTGCCTTTCTTCATTGCAAATTTAACTTGTAAAAGTTTTTTTTTTTTTGTTACGGAGTACAAAGCTACACAACGGAGTATTAGCGTTGTGCCCACCACGGGTATCGAAACCCAGTTTTTTGCGTTATAAGCTTTTAGACTTACCGCTCAGCCACTGGACTGCAGGTGCGATAGTAGAACGATCTTTAAAGAATATAACTACAAAAAAGATTTTAACTTTTAGAATTAATTGATTTTGAAAAGTAAACTTTTAGTTTTCTTAATATTAATGTAATGATTACAATATTCTAAATTTGGACATTCTTTGATTTTATCTTCGTTGTAATGTAACCCCAACCTAAGTATTTTTTTAATAAATAGATATAAACAGAGATCAATTTGTCTGATTTAGAACATGTCTATTATCTGTTTACTTATCTTAAAAGGTTTGTCCACCAAGAAAAGTCAGACGACCGTCAGTCAACCTTAGCAAACAGTTACTTTTTCTTTTACCGTAAAAAATGATAAATTTTTATCGCTCAAACTATCTAAAATAACGTAATATCACCTAAAGATAATTATTTTTATTTCCTGAAAACGAATCTATTGCTTTTAAAATAGATAATTTTTCTGTGGTTTGTTTGTTGTTCAGCGCAAAGCTGCACAATGAGGTTTTCAGCGTTATAAGTCTTTAGACTTACAGCAGAGCATGTGGAGGGCAGTTTTCTGTGAATGAACTTTTCTTTGTATGACTTAATGTTTTCTATTTATCTTTACAAAAGTACAAATTAGCTTATGTTAAGCACTATTACTTCATATTATAAAAAGATGTAACATTTTTAGTTCCTATCATATAAGTTAGTACATTTATATAAAGCGCAATAATATAAATAAGAATGTTACTTTTATACGATTCATACATATTCTAGATTCCAGATAATAAACTTATTTTAGTAAAAAAAGAAAGAAAACAAAGACATCAAAATAAGCGACCTAACCTCATTTTTATTTTTGGCATTTTCAACCATACAGAACTGAAACATCCAAAATTCTGGACATTTTTTCACAACAATGGAGTACAGTCAACAGTTCTCTTCTACTGCACTTGGATTAAACTGCAGTAGTGTTAAATCATTTCGTAATCAAACACGTTAAGGACTTGAGTTCACGCTTATAACGCACCCACAGCTTTAAGTGCGGAAAATATTTTGTGGCATCGCACCGATTCGAGCCCGGGTCGCCAGCTCAGGCTAACTCATTGCTAGAAAAGACTGCGTATGAAGGGGTTTTTTAGTACAACGGTAAAGTTCAGCTAATTATAACTAATAACAAAAAAAAAGATAAGTTCGTCATTTCGCTATAAAAATTGAAGCATTTAATTATAGGCGATTTTGTTTTAGTTTTGCACTGCGCAAACCATGAAATTATTCTTTGTTTAGTTCTATGACTGAGTCATTTAAAAACACTAAACACACACTCAAACCGGAGGAGGGGGGGGAGACTTTACTTGATAATATCTTCAAAGGATCGACAAAATGCTGAACATTTTAAATAATAAAATAAAAGAGTTTAACTTTGTTTTTGGTTTTTTATACAATACTTTATTTTAATCCTTCTGTTTAGAGTGGAATGAAATGAAAAACTTTTGCCCAAAACTGATTGTTGAGAGAGAAACTTATTTTTTCTTTATCTAGCATCTTCTAAAAGGACTGAAAAAAAAAGCGATACCCTAAAATGAATTTACTATAGTCCCAAGCAGTCGAGATAAGATCCCACCCTCAACAGCAATTTTTTCTAATCAAAATCAAGCCTGGCTTTGATATATATATATAAAAAAGCATCGCAGATACTTTTGTTTACAGAGAGTCGACCTTCTTTGAAAATTTATTACAATAGAGAAAACAGAAAAAAATTAACGTTTTATTTCGAACTGTACCAGTTGACCATGACAGCGAAAATATTCACAAATTGAATTTCTAATTTCTGTACTGCAATTCTGTACCATTAAAAGTTTCCACCGGAGAATCTAAAAACAAATTCTAAATCAGAATCTGTCTTCAAGAAAGTTGGCACGATGTCTTAGTTTATTCTAAAAATAGCGTCACTATAAAAGAAGTTAAGTAACAGAATGTCGTTTTATAAATTGACACTTGAATACTTTCAACAAATCTGTTTGTTTTTTAACGTTTTTTTTGTAAACATGCACATAAAAAGCATTTTAAACATTAAAGAGAGAGAGAGGTTTATGTTCTTTTTTCTCCAAAAAGTGTGCCTTTCTCACCGATTTCGTATTACAACCTCTTCCATAGTCGCACAAACTCCAATCAAGAATTAAATTTTTGGAATGAGAGGACTAGATCAGTGGCTCCCTACCTTTTTCCACCTAAGAAACAGCTAGTTCCAATCCCAAAATTAACTTTTTAAAGTACTCGTAAATTACATTGTAAACAATATATTTCAGTAGCTATACCTTGTAACACGTCTTGTGAACTGTCTGAAATCTTCCTGTGGACCAAAGGTTGGGAACCATTGGATTATATAACAACCAATCAAACACCTAAACAAACAGGTGACGAATCAAGGGCAACTTTAAGCACAATACGTAATATGTAAGCACAGTAGAATGGATATATAGAAATTAAACTCAAAAAACGTAACTCAAGATAGGACTAATTATTATAAGTGAGTTATTTTTCCCGATATCATTTTCCTAACCTCTTTTTAGTTTGCAGTAAAATTCGGTGATATTCAGTCTAAAGCTTTGTTTTTTCGAATCGTATGTTAATAAAACACTTAGCTACATAAAGATAAAAAACAATGAAAGCATTTTTACAGAAGAAAAAAATTCAGAGCTCCAATTTGTTCTTATTTTGTAACTAATTATCTTGGAAAAGGCAGTAATCCAATTAAGTAATCAGGAATTCTTAGGATTTTAAAAAGATTAAATTAGAATACATCTTTTCGTAGAAGACCATGAAAATTAAAAGAGAGTATCTTCATCATCTTTTTTAAGTCGACCATCTTTAGCATCCTTAATGGCTCCCCAGAGATCAAAAATAAAGTCTTCGCTAAATCCAAAAGCTTCCAGATCAGATTCTTCCACAGCAATGGCAAAGTCTGCAGGATTGTTGATTTTATGGCCTTGTTCCCAGATGCGGGTGGCTGTCAAGGAGGATATATAGTTTCATTACATTTCAGCACTTGCTGGAATACGAAGTCAAATATTAATCTGGAAGGAACATTTACTACTAAAGCGCCATTAAATGTTGTTTTTCACAGAGATTGAATTGGATAGGCCATTTTATTTATGGTCGTCTTAGCTTCGTCAATATCCAGGGTAAATGAAATACATGAATTATAAAACCTTTTACAATGCTATTACAGTTTGGCAATAAATAATTCATTTACGGGTAGTGGCAAAAAAAAAGAAGAAGGAAACAACAATGGGCGTTGGGCCTTGCAGTTCGAATTAATGCACGGACATCACGATCTTGAAATATACACTTTCGCCCACTGTTACCCTTTGCTGATGATGTCTTTCCCTCGGAGTTCCTTGCCGACATCACCTTTGACACCGTTGTTCGTGAAATGTCAGCAAGTTAGCTGTCTCTATCACTGAAGCTCCCGCCAAACGCGCCCCAACAATCACCCCTCTTTCAAAGTCAGAGGTCTCCTCTTGCAGCTATGCTAGCCGTGATTATAGGCAACCAGGCCTGTCCAACATTTTTATACATGACCCTATGCGTGTTGGGATGTTATTTACTTAAATAATTAATCGACGAGCCGCACCTGTGTGGTAACCTCTGCATTGTGTATACTTGTTGTCCCTCATTTAACCAGGCGTTTCCATATTTTTTGTCCATTACCTGTAAGTCTGTTAATATTAATCACAATACAAGATTGAACTTTGTTTAATAACGGAAATTGTTAATTTGATTAAAAATGTTTCGTTTAGATAAAAAATGTGTACATGGTGAAGCAAGTAAAAAGCTGACAAGGCAGGATTCTATATATTCGATACACTTAATACAAAAAAATCTGCACTTTCTAAATATTTCATTTGGTTGTAACATGACCTTAAACAACATTTTTAGTAAATAACCTTAAAAACAGTGTTTATGAGTGATCTTAAGATACAATGTCTGGTGAATGAACAAAAACGCAACAGTTCAAACATGAACAGAATCTAAATGAAGTAACAAAACTATACAATCTCGACAAATAATGAGTGAAAGATTTTTGTAAACCAATAAGCATTTACTAATAACTTGACCACTAGGGTACTTTAACAGCCCGAATCTCTAGACTACAAAGTGTCAAACTGGAGAAAATCTTACCTAACTCTGAGTCGTTTATTCCCATGTATGTCTCAAGCAGACTGTTAATTTTCTCTACAGCTGTATTGACGACATCATCAGGCTAAACAAAAAATAAGAACATTAGCAAGTGTTTCATTGTTTTCTTTCAATTAAACACTTAGTTATGTACCCTGCCGTTTTGAAACTGGTAATTTCAGGTACGAGTTATCAAAATTAAAACGCTAAATTGTTATGGGCATTATTGAAACACATTTATAAAGGAATCAATAGCTATTGTTATTATGGATGTTACTCGATGTAGTCAAAATTAGTTATCGTTTTTGATGTCACTGGCTGGAACTTGAAAGTTATTGTCATGTATCCGCCATTTCATAGAGCTTAAAACTATTGTTGTTGTGGATGTCATTTGATGGAGTTTAAAGCTGTTTATGTCGATGTTATTTGGAGTAGTCTAAAGTTATTAACATTGTTAATATCACTTGATAGAGTCTAAAGTTGTTGTTGTGGATGTCATTTGGAATAGTCTAAGGTTATTGAAATTGTTAATATCACTTGATAGAGCTGTTGTTGTTGTGGATGTCATTTGATGGAGGGTAAAACTTTTGTTTTCGTGGATGTCATTTGATAGAAACTAAAACTGTTTTTGTTGTGAATGTCATTTGATGGAGTCAAACTGTTTTTGTTGTGGATGTCATTTGATGGAGTCTAAAACTGTTGTTGTTGGGGATGTCATTTGATAGAAACTAAAACTGTTGTTGTTGGGGATGTCATTTGATGGAGACTAAAACTGTTGTTGTTGGGGATGTCATTTGATAGAAACTAAAACTGTTGTTGTTGGGGATGTCATTTGATGGAGACTAAAACTGTTGTTGTTGGGGATGTCATTTGATGGAGACTAAAACTGTTGTTGTTGGGGGTGTCATTTGATGAATACTAAAACTGTTGTTGTTGGGGATGTCATTTGATGTTGCTGTTGTTTTAGTGCAAACAAAATTTCCACGAAATAACAAAAAGTATAAAATAAATGCATCATTCTTTTACGATGATGTCATTAGAGAGCGCTAAGTCAGAGACCCCACAACTCATCAACTGCCTCCTAGGTAGCCCTTTACAAACAAATGTTAACTAAAGTTATCAAACTAATTTACTAATCAACATTTAGCAGTAAAATTATTTGACGATCATAAGTCATTCAGCGAATCACGTTTTCTCAAAGTTACTAGTATTAATTACTCAAGACTCTCCAGTTTATCTACCTATAAGTTCTGATTATTAACGTAATACGTTAATTAGGCTTAGTGAACACCTATTTACTGTTGTCTTAACACACCCAAAAGTAAACTGTTTTAACATCATATGTTGAATCAACTTATAAGTTTATGGCTAAGCTCCCTAAGAAGAAATCCAAGTATTTTTATATATTTCAAATAAACTTTCTCCGCATGTTTATTCTTATAATTACATTTACTGTCAACTTAACGCGTATAACGTATTCTTACCGCCTCTTCCACGGTCGCAGGTCCTTTCGAACGCAACCTCAAGGTTTCCTTACCGGATCCGTAAGATTTTTTTCCACTTCCACCTGGGCCTGCCCTAGGTCCTATATGAGCTGTTGAAAACAATAACACCAACTCAATAATAATTTAACAAACAAAATAGTAATGCGGTTAAGATATCTTTGTAGGATTACTGACAAACAAATAAGCATTATGGCTTGAAGTATTACTTTTTATGAGTAAAACTAACACACATATTTTAAATAAGCTTTTCTTCAATGAGTATTCGCATTTTGTATTTATGGTAAAGCTACTAAGGGTATCTGCCGCCACTTTTAGTTTTGAACTACTGACCAGAGGGAAGGTCAACCAGTCAGAAACACCCTATTATCTACTATACAAGGTAGGGGATTGACTTCCGCTCTTATAACTAACCCACAGCTTAAAGTGCTGTGAATATTTAGTGGTATCGCACGGTTTCGAAACCCAGAGTTCTACCAGTGGGCAACTGGTGAATTTCGTTTTTACTTGCACCTAGCTGTGACCTTACAATATTAAACCTTAACTTTGAACTGCTGGCCAAGGGAATGACAACCAGTAAGTAACACCCGCTATCAACATGGCTACTCTTGAGTGAGTAGCAAAATTGACTGTTATTTTTACATATTGAATGGCATATCACGGTTTCGAACCTTGGACATTCCCTTCCGTAGCCCTAGCGAAGAAAATAGAGATGCGTGATTATAAGAGGAAAAAAACATCTCTTCCAAACAAAAACTTACAGAAACCAGCTCTTAGTGGTTCAACAAGGCGAAGTGTAAAGATAGAACCCTTAGGAATATTCTTCAATGCTCGGGCGACCTCGAAGTGGCGACATCCTACCATGTTTTGGCCGTTGATCTTTTCCACGTGGTCTCCCACCTAGAAGAGTTACGAGAAAAAAAAAGTATTCTCAAGTTTACATTTATTTACAGTTTCAAAACTGTCAAGACTAACAAGAGTGAAACTAGTTTTACAGCAATCTGAAAATTACACGAAAAATCGATTTTTAGATCAATCTGAGCTTCAAAATCACTGCTTCGAATTGATATTTTTATCCAAATAATTTTAACTTTATCAGCTATTACAGATAGCTTTTCATTCAAAACCCGTCCCTAATTTTAAGGTGATATGATATGTTATAGGGAATGCAATTAGTGGACAGCACCCCAAAATAAATCTGGAATACTCTAATCGAATAATGGGATACAACTGTCTCTATTATAACGCATTCAAGATCCCAAAGTACAGAGCGCAATTTTGCAGCAACCGGACGCGAATCATGGACTCTGGATTTCACATTCAGGCACATTCAACCGTTAGACCACGCGCAGCCCTCTGCTGAAAAAACAGTAAATTTACAGGGACGGACGCAAGGCTGAGTAAAGTATCAGTAAATTTACAGGGATCGGACGCAAGGCTGAGAAGAGTATCAGTAAATTTACAGGGACGGACGCAAGGCTGAGAAGAGTATCAGTAAATTTACGGGTGCGGACGCAAGGCTGAGAAGAGTATCAGTAAATTTACGGGTGCGGACGCAAGGCTGAGAAAACTATTAATAAATTTACAGGGACGGACGCAAGGCTGAGAGAAGTATCAGTAAATTTACAGGGACGGACGCAAGGCTGAGAAAAGTGTTAGCAAATTTACAGGGACGGACGCAAGGCTGAGAAAACTATCAGTAAATTTACAGGGACGGACGCAAGGCTGAGAAAAGTGTTAGTAAATTCAAGAATGGCGTTAATGGGTAAAGCGAAGAGGATATTCCTCCTAGCGGTCATCAAGTGGCCGCCAAATTTTAGTAAACATTTAAAAAAATGTACAAACAAATTGTAATAAATTCAATAATCATCATGCTTTATAAAAAAATTATAGATCACAGGAGATCTAATTCGGACCTGGGATGGTGGAAGGTTGTTTAATTTTTTTATTTTATTTTATTCTAGTAACCACATCCAACGGCTTAAAAATACTCACTTGCCTCCCCTTCCTTCCAACAGTGAAAATCTTGAACTATCTCTGTGTATATGTAGTATATGTTCACATTCTTACCTGAATAAAGTTGAATAACCGGCATGTTCACATTCTTACCTGAATAAAGTTGGATAACCGGTATTTTCACATTCTTACCTGAATAAAGTTGGATAACTGGTATGTTCACATTCTTACCTGAATAAAGTTGGATAACCGGTATGTTCACATTATTACCTGAATAAAGTTGGATAACCGGTATTTTCACATTCTTACCTGAATAAAGTTGGATAACTGGTATGTTCACATTCTTACCTGAATAAAGTTGGATAACCGGTATGTTCACATTATTACCTGAATAAAGTTGGATAATCGGTATGTTCACATTATTACCTGAATAAAGTTGGATAACTGGTATGTTCACATTCTTACCTGAATAAAGTTGGTCAACCGGTATGTTCACATTCTTATCTGAATAAAGTTGGACAACCGGTATGTTCACATTATTACCTGAATAAAGTTGGACAACCGGTATGTTCACATTCTTACCTGAATAAATTTGGAAAACCGGCATGTTCACATTCTTACCTGAATAAAGTTGGATAACCGGTATGTTCACATTCTTACCTGAATAAAGTTGGATAACCGGTATGTTCACATTCTTACCTGAATAAAGTTGGATAACC